GAGAGGTGAGCCGAAGTGCAGTGGCTTAGATGTTTTTACAAGGGAGTGTGCAGTAGCACTTACCAGGAAAGGTCAACAGGTCAGCCTGGCCATTTGCAATGAGGTGCACATCATTGTACTCGTCTTGAGACGCTGAACTCAAAACTATCTTTAAAATTTGCGGAACGATTCTCTGAGCGGAGTTATGGAGGTTTTTCTTCTTTTGGGCGCGCTGGCGCCGAAGCGTTGGCACCTGTAGCGCGACTCACAGCGCTCTTCGCGCAAAACAGGTATCATATTCGTGTTCAGGGGGTCAAATAACCCCTAGGGACGTCACCTTAGCGAAATCTGAGGTTCTGACTCAAGCTTCGAAAAAATGGGGTATGGATAGTCATGGCTGACTGATAGCCAACAGCGATACTACGACTAGCATACTGGTGATGACTGGTCTTCGAGCTGAAATAACTCTTCAGTCATGTCTTTTCGCAAAGAACAATACCTGGCTCACTTATTCGTGCCGTCTGCATCATTTTCCTGATTAAAGGATAAAGGATAAAGTCTTCGCCGTTGATCAATCCCTTTGTGGGATGCGGCACGCATTCTACTTCCATTCAGAATCGTAGTGGCTTATTGAATGCGATGTGGCCTATACAATGACTTGCGGTGGCCAGCCGATGTACAAGTGTTTTATCCTCCCAGACGAATCTGGTACCAATTTACCGTCCCCGGAGGGTAGAAGGCTTGGTTGGCCTGGGCGGGTGTCGACCTGGGATTCGAACCCAGGACCGCGCGAGTGGTAAGCGCGCCACTTGTCACTACACCACCTCCGCCTCCTTTTTCGGATTACCGGTAGGAAATTCCATCCCGAGATCAGTCATCGATGGTGGGTGAACCCCAGTCTGCTGCTAATTACCCGATCCTATTAGCCACACCCCACATTTTCCAAGTTAGGTCGAAATATCAGATTCGGCTAGAAACTTGTCCCCAGGGGTAATTTAACCCGCTGAACATGAATATGATGGTATTTCATTGCAAAAACCCTTGTGACATGTGTTACGAGGGGGACAAGCACAAGCACTCTTTCAGGCCACAATGGGTCTACACTTTCGAAAAAACTGATCGCAGGCCTTACAGGGTAGTGCAGGCGAGCAGAGATGTTAGAAGCTTTGTCGGCCATGTTCTTGGACAAATGCAAAAAGATACGACCTGCCGGGAACCGATCCCACAACGTCTCGCCTAGGAAACCCACTCGCTATCCGTTGCGCTCTACTACCATGTTTTAGAAAGACTCAATACATTTATGTAAAGACGCTTCCACGTTTCCTTTGCTCCGACTCAGAGAATCTCGCAAATCTAAAGAGAGATTTGATCATACGTGTTCGAGACGCGTTTATACCTCATTTGGAAATGGCGGGCTGACCTGTTTGACTTTTCTGGCGTTTAGTCTTGAAGGTAGTCCGCAGTAATCGAACTTGCTGAATATTTTATAGAAAGCGAGCCAGTCGTGTGTCGGTGTTTCCCGTGTGAGCTTGGTGAGTTTTACTGTTGCTTCAGCAGTTCGAAACAGACGTCCACCTTCGTTTCAGAGGAACATACGATAGAGCAGTCGTCAATATACCGGTAGAACAACACTGGTCTGCGCTCCAGAACAGACTTCTCAATTTTTGACATGTTACTGCAAGCACTGGAGCAAGCCTCAGTCCCATCGCTGCCCCCTGATATCTGCTTGTAAAACTCACCAGAGAAACTGAACATGTTGCACATCAGACCAGACATTCTCTAAGAACAGTCATGGCCTGGGAAGATTCCTGGAGAGTCGCACTTGGACATTACTAACTTGTACGTCGACTGGCCCCTTGTAAGCTATACTATAGCCACATCGCAGTCAAAGGAACACTCTGAATGGAAGTAGAATGCGTGTCGCATTCCATAGAGGGATTAGCGGCGGAAGCTTGACCTTTCCAGAAGTTCGTAATGAATTTTCAATAGTGCTGACTTCTAAATGGGACAGGTGGCCCTACCAGTGCTCACCTTCAGTCAAAAAATCCTCCCGCGGTCAAATACCTCCCTCCCTCATCGACACACGCTTTGATCTGCGGTCTCTCCGTTATATGGTGCTTACGCTGTAATAGTGACACCAGTAGAAGTAAAGCTCGAATGCCGACTACTGTATACCATCACAGTACACCACACTATGAAAAAAACCGACAAAAAGTCATTTCAATTTTTATAGGACGAGTGAACATTGAAACACTCCGCGCGGACATTCCGTCCTTTCAATATAATCACGACTGTTGTGAAGGGCCTATGATAGAAATTTAAGGCAATTCTATATACAACGTATCAATCGATAAGGAAAAGAGGAAAAAAAAGAAGTTGGCACCTGTACAAATACATATATTATCATAGATTGGCGGTCGATTTGTAAAAGGTGAATAAAAAGAATAACAAGCAATCTGAGAATCGATTCAGTATGAAGGCAATCAATGATAATGAAATTCGTATCTAGTAGGTTGAAACAAATCGGACTAGCAACCACTGAAAGGAGTGACATATAAACTTAAGTAATAAAACAAGTAGTAAGTGAACTGAATAGAAACTGACTTATGGAATGCTCATCATGCAGTACTTATAGGCGAGTTAGCTAATTATAAAGAGAAATCTGATTTGACAGACGGACAACGGGACAAACCAATGTCACCGCTTAACGGATTAAAACATGACCTCTTGCGTAACAACCAACCACTCCTAATAAAATATGTAAAAAAAATGAATAAAAAGGTGAGATCGGATGATGTAAACTAGCCGTAGCTCCTCTGCACTAACTCGTATACAAGGAGCAACAGGAGATTGCTCACTCCTTCCATGGCTCCACATAACTCAATGGAAAGAAACCGACCTGAACATTGGAAATCGTACATAACCAACAGAACGTATTGTCTTCTATGCTGCGGATGACGGGGCGTGCCAAGGGGAAATGTTTGGCGCAGCGCCAGCCTGCTGCGACAAGACTGTATCATAACGTTCGTATCAGTCGTTTCCCACCAATTGTTGTAGCTTACTAGGGAAGGTCGTCAGGTCGAAGTGGCCATTTGTAATGAGATGTAGCTCACTAGACGTGGTTTTGGACGCTGATCTCGAATCTGCCTTCGAAATTTGCAGAACGATTCTCTGAACGGAGTTATGAAGCTTTTTCCTCCA